GTGCTAACAACCAACCAAGAACCTGCTTGCTTGCAGTTTTTGGCAACCTAGCATAACCTTTGCCTCATTATAATGATCATGCCTACCCTTTCATGAATATGTGTGATACCCGCAGGCTTAAAACTTCCCCTGTCCAGCTGTTCATGGAGAGTTATGTCCCTGTCTCCTTACTTGTCAAAACTAATAAATGCCTCTGTTTCAATGGAAAGTACTTGGTGTGTTCATTGGCTATGCACCCCAAGGAGGGACCAATAGTGTCTAGTAACAGTTACCTTTGGGTAGAAGGGATGAGGTAGTTGTTGGGAGGGCATGAGGGGAGTATTTGGAGTACTGAAAACATTCTATTTCCCTGCATGGCGGTTATATAGCTGGATGGTGGTTGTGTTATGGAACCAAACTTTGGTCTGCTAGCCAGCAGGCAGTAAACCAATCTACTATACTGGGTTGTGGTGAAGGAAAGTGCGGTGTCTACTGTAAGGCACCAGACAAGGAGTCTGGGACAGCTAGTGCTCAAAAAGCCCAAACTCCCGGATGGGTTTCAGCAAAACATTTTTAAAGGCAAGGTGAGGGAGGAGGAGTCCCAGGTCTGTGATCAGTTCATGCACAATTTTCTGATTGGTTGATGGTGAGGTAACAGGGTGGTATCACTGGGGTTAACGTTACCAATCCTCAGCCACCAGTAGGCCTGGTGGCCACATGCTCATGGTCATCAGGTAGTTAATTTCTTCCATTTGGAGGGGTTTTAGCATTTGCAAAACAACTCAGGAAATGTGCATCAGATACTATTATATAGGTACTTCAGAGAGGAGCTACAGCAGAGGATATAGGGGAGGGATCTGTCCCAGGAAGGTCCCATAGGGTCCTGCTTGGTTACAGTTATATAGCAGTGTTAACTTGTGATGACCCATTAAGCAGTATGCTATTAAAGAATAGGGCTTCTTTTTTTAAGGTAAAATTATGACTGTCATATAGGTATAAAATGAACAGATTTTAAGTTAACTAGTGAGGGAACAAACAAAAAGTTACAAATGGTGCAAAAGACGTGAAATGAATTTATAAACAGATACAGAACTGGTTTTTTTTGTGTGTGGGGGGGGTGCTGGAGGGAAATCAGTTGTCGCTCCACCAGACAATTTATTTGCCAGTGTACAGAAAAGAATAATTTGTATTGTTTTCAGCTGTCTACTGATATTTAAACTTACAGACTTTTAAAATAGCTCAAAGATAATGAAATGTTCATACCTTATAGAATCAGATAACCTGGAAGGGCATGCTCTAGACACATAGTTTTCTCCTGCAGACACCAAATAATCCTTTTGGTCCATTTCACAGTCTTTTACATAACTTAAGAGTTGTCAGTCTGTATATTATACTTCCATGTTAAAAAAGTTTATTAAAAAATAAAATTAAATAAAGGAAAATAGTTCTGTAAACCATGCATCAGCTTTCTCAGGTGTTCCCCAGGGCTACTTTAAATTCCTGAGACTTCCGCACTGACCAGCTTTCTTTAAAGCTTCAACCTCTTGCCACATGGTTGGCCTCTGTCTTACTTCCCTCTTCCCAATTCCCTCTCCAGAGACTAACTATCCAGATGTCTACTTGGTGGGGCAGGGGAAATTGACTGTAATGTTGATTGGGAAAGGAGATCTAAAGATTTGCCTCAAAGAGTTTTCTCCTTGCCCTCTATATCTTTTTTTTGTTTTAGCCTCCACCTTCAGTCCCACTTCTAGAAGTATCTGGTATTACCACTCCTGTTTGAGGTTTCTGAGATATAAAGTCAAACTGGCTTTCAGCTTTTTTTATAGCTGTCTGGGGATTTGGCATTTTTCAGGTTTGCCAAGAAAATAACATCCGTCTACTTTTCAGGTCCAAAATGTTGCTGGTGTGTCCTTGCCTGATTCTTCCTGAACTTGTGAGTTAACTTTTCAAATAATACCTTAATTTTGGCTTTACTAGGTTTTGGAAGGGAACAAAATTTGCTGTATTGTTAGAGCAAAAAGTATTATCCTACCTGTTAAAAAAAATTGTTCATGATATTTGTTAAAGAACAGTAAGGCAGAGTTTATTCAAGGGGGGCCATTGTGATTGGGTATAGGGACCACTGCAATGGAATCTTGCAGTTGGGAAGAGGGACTGGGATCAATTCCAAATACAGCATAAGCAAGTAGGAGTTTATAGCCAATGAGCCAGGTGGGGGTGGTCAGAGAATAGATAATTACTACGAGGAAACATCAGGGGTGAGGGGGGACCAAACTAACAGAATACTTGCTGAAAACAGACATCACCTGAGGCATGGTGGAGGAGGAATTACCAGATATCAAGAGTGATAAGATATGGAGGATGGGGTATTCTGGCTAAACTGATTTAGTAATATTCTTGCTAAAATTTGACAATGCAGAAACAAAAATGAGAACCCGACTCTTGAGGCCTAGTTGAAAAAGAGCTCAGAGGAGCCTGATTAGAGTGTGACCGGCCTAATCTCTAAATATTCCGTTTACCTAAATTTTTAAAAACTTTTCTGGTACTTTTAAAAATGTCTAATTGTATTGTTGTCAAAGAATGTGGTACTTATGATACCAGTTCTTTGAAATGTGTTGAGACTACTTTTATAACCTAGCATAAGGTCATTTTTTATAACCATATGATTAAAACTTATTTTCATTAATTTGGGGATGCAATATTCTATGTGTTTGTCCATTAAGTAAAACTTGTTAATTTTGCTCTTCAGATATTCTATATCTTTAGTGATTTTTTTGGTGAGATTTTCTGTCAATTTCTGAGAAAAATAGTTTAAAAATAACTCAGTAGATTTGTCAGTTCTCTTCTGTCAATTTTTGCTTTATATATTTTGAAACTCCATTATTAAATACATAAAAGTTTATGAATATTTTCTTTTCTTGGTGAATTAACTTTTATTGTTATGTAATTACCTTTTCCACATCTAGCAATATTTTTTGCTTTAATGTGTGTGTGTGTGTGTGTGTGTGTGTGTGTGTGTGTGTGTGTGTGTGTGTTAGTAGCTACATTAACTTTCTGGGGTTAATATTTGCCAGGTTTATCTTTTGCCAGTTTTCCACTTTCAAGGTTTGTGTATCCTTATGTTTTAGCATATAGCTTAGATTTATAAAAATGTAGTCTGCCAGTATTTTTCTTTCAATTGGAAAGTTCGGTTCATGTGCATGTGTAGTGATTACTAATAGACTTGGCATTATTGCTATCATCTTCTTGCATATTTTTTATTTACCTGAGTTTTTATGTTTGCGGGTTGTTGCGTTGTGGGGGGGGGTGTTGGTTTCTTTTGGTCCTTCTCCCTCTCCCTATTCTACATTCTCTGCCTACTTGTTGGGAAATTGCACACTCTTATGTTGTGAATTTTATCAAGGGCCATTTCTCCCCAAACCATGATGAATATGTTCATGCAGTTTCTGATGTACGAATGACCTTGTAGTCCTGGAACAACTGTCTGATTCAAGGTATTTGAATCGAAAAATACAGTGGTAGATTTTTACTTTGTTTGTTGCTATCTGGGTTACCTTCACTTGATTAAATGAACTGTGATTTTCATGTTTTTCAATATTTTGAAATAGTTCAAACATCTCTCAAAAAGAAACAGAGTTGGACACTAGTTTAACAGAGTAAGGACATATTTTATTCAGTACTATTGCAATAGGGGCTTCAGTAAAACTGAACTCAACTCCCAGTAGAGCAAAGACAGCTGGGGATTTACAGCTCCAACAAGCAGGGTAAAGGGGGTCAGTGGATGGAAAATTACTAAAAAGGAGACAGCAAATTTGGGGGGATCCTTGCCAAAGGCTGGCCAAGGACTTAGACATCAAGAGTAGGGGATGAGGAATTTGATCAGATATTAATAATGCGGGATTCTACCTAAACTGACTTAGCGGTATTCTTGCTAAAACTGGGCTCCACAAGCCAAGGACAGGGCTCAAGGAGGAGACCTAGTAGAAAAGAAGTCTCATAGGAACCTTCCTAAAGTTTAGTCAAAGGTGGAGTCTTTGTCACATCGACAGAAAGAGGCAGATGAAACTACCGGTTATTTTTAGAAAAACAAATATTACAATCCAAGCTACCATATAGATCTGCCCCAAATGTCATGTACTTCTCCAAATTCCAGCGGCAGACCCAGCTGTAACTGACAGCTCTGGCCACACATTTAATTAGAGATTTTGTCTGCATTCCTTTTTTTAAAAAAATTAATTTATTTTTGGCTTCATTGGGCCTTCTTTGCTGCGCGTGGGCTTTCTCTAGTTTGCGGTGATCAGGGGGCTACTCTTTGTTGTGGTGCTCAGGCTTCTCATTGCAGTGGCTTCTCTTGCTGCAGAGCACAGGCTCTAGACGCATGGGCTTCAGTAGTTGCAGCACGCAGGCTCAGTAGTTATGGCACACGGGCTTAGTTGCTCTGCCGCATGTGGGATCTTCCCGGACCAGGGCTCGAACCTGTGTGCCCTGCATTGGCAGGTGGATTCTTAACCACTGCGCCACCAGCGAAGCCCTTGTCTGGATTCTATACAGTGATAATTCTGAAGCAAATACGGCAGCACCTGACACTGAGCTAGGAAAGGAGGTACAGTAGCCACCATTCATGGAGTGCTCACTCTGCATCTGGTATGTTAACTACCACATCTACTCAGTCTTCTGACAACTTTGCAAGGGACTCCTCTAGGCTCCCTTTATTTCAGAGGAGGAAAGTGAGGCTTATCCAAGGCTGTCTGCCCTTTCTTCCTTACCCATGGGTTAGGAACCCACAGGTTCTAATGAGAGGCTTCTTTAGGGTTGCCGGGGTAAGGTTACCGCGCAGTCAACTCCTGGCTTGGCAAGCCACAACCCCACCAAAATGAGGTAGCCATTCGGGAAGCCACCACCTTCCGTCCCGCTGGAACCGCCCCTCCCCCCACCATCCGAGGCCCGCGCCTGCGCACTCCTGACGCCCGCGCCGCGCCCCCGCAGCTTTGTGGGAAATGTAGTCCGGCTCCCCGGGGTGGAGATGCTGGGAGGGGCGGCATTGGTCCGCTGGTTGCTCTGGCTCCTGCTGGGAGAGGGTGAGTGCGGGGCCACGGCGGGAGGCACCGGGTCTGGAGGGCGTCGGAGGGCCTGGCGGGAGGAGTCCAGTACAGCCGGGCAGGCCCCTTAGGGGCGGGGCGGGGCGGGGCGGGCTGCAGATGGGCCGCGACCTCTCGGACCCTGCGCAGCGCCGGGCTTCTAGCTCCAGATGTTCCTCCTCTCGCCCCGGGGGCCCAGCCGGGTTGGGAACACCGAGAGCTGAGGCGCCGGACGCGGTCCTTCCACCACCTGTCCCCCGAGTGGCGAGGGCAGGGGACCCGACGCGGCGGCCCCGGGTCCCAGGGGCAAGTGAGGGACCGAAGGCTCTGGAAGTCTCTCGGACCCTGGGTTCCTCCCCGTCGCGGGCTGTCCCCCGGACCCACGTCGAAAGTCTCGGGGGATGCTGGACCGGGGTGCGGGTCTCCGGGCTCCAGCACCTGCCCTTTGTGTAAACCGCATCTCGGGGACCGCCCTCAGTGATTTACGATTCCTAAGGGTGATGGCGTGGGCTCCCCTTAACTCATCTCTCTGTAAGAATGGGGAGGCCAACCCTGTGCAGATTTCTGCTTCAGGGAATCCTTTTCTTTCTTTTCTTCCTTCCTTTATTTATTTATTTAAAGCAGTTTTTCTCTTACCAAAAAAAAAGTTCACTGTAGGACAACTAGGAGGAGCAAAAAGGAAAAAATCATTTGAAAACTGTCAGAATCTGCATGTCGGCATGTATATACGTATAAACACAGAAACGCTTTGTTTTTAAGCAAATATATGGATATTAGTATTCTTTTCTCCATTTACTTCAAAAATGAGTGCACAAGTCTTAAGCTCCGTGATTTTTTAATAAATATTTTTATCTGTGTAGTACCACTTAAGATGCAGAATAAACTTTTGTAAGTTTTGAAACTATCTACTTATACCAATTTTTAAGAACAGCTAAGTCTGCTTGTTAATGAACATGAGGAAAAGCATGTCTGTGCCATATTTAATCCTCTCTTTAGGCCTTTGTGTTCTTTCTCAGGGCTGTTGTGGGGTTTTTTGTTTGTTTAGTATTATAAACAATATAGGCCATCTGGCTACATATATCTTTGCATTCTTGTCTCATTCTATAAATCTCTTCAAGTGAAATTTCTAGATCATACTGTAAGGCTTTTGATACCTCCTGTCCTATTCTCTCTAGAAAAGTAGTAGTTTGTAAACATTGCAAGGTAAGGGTGCCTGATAGACCCACAGCAAGTCTGAGTGTTACTATTCTCTAACTTTTTGAGAGGTGCAAACAATAGGGTTGTTTAGATTTGCTTATTGAAAACTAGTGAATATTTTTATGCAGTTTGCATTGTGTTTTTAAATTGTGTCTGATACACAAGTATATTTCCAATTCCTATGCAGAAATGTTACATTTTCATATGTTCAGATGTGCAAACCTTCCCTTCATGTTTGGGCCTTTGACATCATTGTTAGGGCTCTTCTATTCCGTATGTTACAAAATGTTCATCTTCATTTTCTTGTAGTACTTTAGTTTCACTTTATATGTAAATTTTTATTCTTTTCCAAATGGTAAGTCCTTGTTCCAAGTTACTGAATCATTCATCCTTTCTTCATTGATGTGAAATGCAACTTTTTTCATATCCTGAATTCTTATATATAAATTTTTTTTCTGAACTGATTGTGTTGGTAGGATTTTAATTTGTTCTATTCACCCTTTTCCCTGGTAGACTATAACATCTGCGAGGGTAGAGAGTTTATCTATTTTGTTTACAGCTGTATTCATCCCTTGCCCTAAGAATGGTGCCTGGTACACAGTAGGTGGTCAATAATATAGCTGGTGAATGAGTGACACTATACAGTAACACTATGTTCTAATTATCATAGCTTTATAATATCTGGAGGGCAAGTTCTCACATCCATTGTTATACAACACAATTAACTTTTTTAAAAAAATCATTTTTTCCATAATTAACTTTACAAGATTATTATTTAGCTGTAACTTGGTTGGGAATATGTTAAGTTTATAAATTAATTTCAAAGAAGTGACAACTTAGGATACTGTGACATCCTATCCAGGAGTATGGTATGTCTCTCTCTGTTCAGCTTATTTTATATATCTAAATAAGCTTAATAAATAAAAAGTATAGTTTTCTCTACATTAATACTATACACTTCTTATTTGGCTTATCTGTAGGTATTATATTGTCAATGAGAAAAGATATTCACAACCTAAAAGTTGAGAGTTATGTTTTATTCGGCAGGAATTTTTAGGACTTCAAGCCCAGGAGGCAGCATCTCAAGTAACCCTGAGAGAACTGCCCCAAGGAGGCGAGGGGTGGGTGGGGGCTGGGGGGGGCAGGATATATAGGAGTTTTGCAACAAAGGGTAGTCTGAATGTCAGAAGATTATGGTTAATTAAAGAAAACCAGATATCTCAAGTTGAGGAATTTAGCACTTTTCTATGTATGGGAAGATGTAAGAGTCTGGGTTCACTGAAATCATTCCTTTGATATCTGGGGCCAGTATCCTGTGTTTTCACATCCTGAGTTTCCTCAGGGCTCACTGTGGGGAGTGGCTGCAGTCTGATGGCTGCTAGACGACAGGTATTCTCTTCCTTGCTAAGTTCCCTCAGGGCTCACCAGCTCACTGGTGGTGGCTGCAATCGCTGATGACTGTGACATCCTTTGTTTACTGATATGGCAGGCAGTATTCCATTTCTCAATATTTTTTGTTGTTGCTGGAGTCTTGTTTCTCACATCTTTTCCTTTCCTCAGCTCTGCCTCCTCTGATCCTGCCCACCGCCTGGGAAGGACACCACAGGAAGGAAGGAGAAGGCAGTGGCTGCTGGGCCTCTACTATTGGGAGTTCAGGTGAGCTCATTTTTCTCTCTTAAACCTCTCCCTTACTCCTTGTTCCTATACTGTAGGTGGGCCTCACCACAGAAAACAGGGCCATTGAGATCTCTGAATGTTGGATGTTTTCCACAAAACTCCCCCTCGGCATCCCTCAGCTAGGTTCTCAGCTTCCAGTTCCTTATTCAGCAGGATGCCTTGGCCTGCTGAGCTGTTGGTATTGTCCAAGTGTCAGAAAAGGAACAAAAATCATGTGAGAGATGGTCCTGGTGCTTATAGGGCTATGGACTTTCAGGGAACATAAAAGAGGTCACATCTCTACAAGGAACAGTCATGATGATTGCACGTGTATATGATAATAAGAACAAGTATGGTTAAGTACCCACATTGTCAGTGTTCCAAGACCTGGAAAGAGAGAAGATCAGTGTGGTGACCAGAAGTAGGGTTGGGTAGGGATACCTGGAGAGGATTTGCTGTAATGGAGTCAGAGTGTCCCAAGTTTAAATTCCGACTACCATTTAATAGCTGCACTGTCTTGGGCGAGTGACTTGACTTCCCTTGAAGCATCTGTTCCTCATGTGATGATAGAAATAACAGCATTAACTGAGTGTTTGCCACATACTTGACATTGATAAGAATTTCACCGGACTTATTTCATTTGAACTCTCAACAAACTTATGAAGTAGGTATTATTAAATGAAATAAGTAATGTAAGTAAAAAGAGCCCAGCTTTGGTTCCTGGAATGTTGAAGGTACTAGCTCAGCGGTAGGCATTCTTAGCGTTATTCCAGCCACTAACTTGGTGTTTTAGAGTTTGTCGACTGAAAAAAAAAAGCACAACATGAGGGTTGTGAGTTAAGTTTTATTTGGGGCAAATTGAGGACTATAGCCTGGGAGACAGCATTTCAGATAGCTCTGAGAAACTGCTCCAAAGAAGCAGGGGGGAAGGTCAGTATATATGTGATTTTGGTGAGGTGGGGGAGGTGCATGCAATCAAGCACATATTTTTTTTTTGTAGAAGGTTTCTGCTAGTCTTGTGAAGGTTACTGCTAGTCACGAGGAGCAGACGTCACCATGAAGGATTTTAGTGCTTTTCTAGATGTGAGGAGATATAAGAATTGGGCTCATAAAATTGTCTCTTGAAAATATCTATCTGAAGACCTGTACTAACAGTTTTTCCCAGAGCAGAGTGCTGATCTCCACCCTGAACTCCTTTCAGGGGATGTTGAAAGTCAGCAGCTGTAGTGGCTCGTAATTTGATCCTTGTAGGGGTAGATGGCAAGTGCCAATTTGTAGGTGACAAGTTTTAGAGGTGGAGCGAAGGTAGAAGGGACTGGAAGGGAGAGGGAATCAGATACAGTTTGGGGTCAAGTACCAGGAAGGAGGAGTTTGTGTGTTTGGTGGGGTGGTAGGCATGGGAGTAGAGGAGGAGTCAGAGGAATTTAAATAAGGGAGTTGGCATGATAAGAGCTTTTCTAAGAAGTGTTAGACCTCCCTGGTGGCGCAGTGGTTGAGAATCTGCCTGCCAATGCAGGGGACACGGGTTCAATCCCTTGTCCAGGAAGATCCCACATGCTGCGGAGCAACTAAGCCTGTGCACCACAACTACTGAGCCTACCCTCTAGAGCCCGTGAGCGACAACTACCGAACCCGAGCACCACAACTTCTGAGCCTGTCTGCTGCAACTACTGAAGCCCACGTGCCTAGAGCCCGTGCTCCGCAACAAGAGAAGCCACTGTGATGAGAAACCCGCACGCCACTCACCGCAACTAGAGAAAGCCCGCATGCTGCAGCAAAGACCCCGCATAACCAACTCCTTCCTGATACTAGACAAAAAAACGTAGTCTGTCAGCTAGAGGAAATCATAGAGGAAAAAAAGTGAGTAAGGAGCCTAGGCTTTTTTTGCCCTGTGAGATTGCTTGAAAATGGAACCTGCTAGTTTTTGCTAGAACCTGGAGTTGTTCCTTCTCTGGAAAAGGAAATAAGACATCGGGGCACTTTACCCAGGAAACCTTAAGTTCTTGGGTTGTTTTTGTTTTTGTTTTTAGGATTAGGTTTACTTAACTTTGTCTGCCATCCCAAAGGACTTGTGGTTTTTTTTTATTCATAAGATCATATGTTAGGATTCTCTTAAATATGTCACTTGGTTATTTACAAGAGGAACCAGTTTAAAGGCTTCATGAAGACAAGCACTAACTGTTGTGATTTTTTTAAATTAATTAATTTATTTTTGGCTGCATTGGGTCTTCGTTGCTGTGTGCGGGCTTTTCTCTAGTTGTGAGAGGGGGCTACTCTTCGTGTGGTGTGTGGGCTTCTCATTACAGTGGCTTCTCTTGTTGAGGAGCACAGGCTTTAGGCGCACAGGCTCAGTAGTTGTGGCACACGGGCTTAGTTGCTCCGTGACATGTGGAATCTTCCCAGACCAGGGCTTGAACCTGTGTCGCCTGCATTGGCAGGTGGATTCTTAACCACTGTACCACCAGGGAAGTCCAACTGTTGTGATTTCTATTTGTACTACTTTCTCTTCTCAGTGTTATCAAGCTCAGTTTTAAAAGGCAACATAACTCACAAAAATAGGTATCAGAGAGAGGGAGTTTCTGGAAGAGGGGAAGCTTTAAGAGGGGAGCACTCAGAAGATTTTGGTTGATGTAGGTTGTGGTATGGTTGTCAATAGCCTTGATTTTATTTTATTTAGTTAAAATAGCACTAACTAAATTTTTAAATCAGCTTTATTTTTCAGGTATAATTTACATAAAATAACCCACTTAAAGCATATAATTCATTGAGTTTTGACAAATTTATGCACCAACATCATCACCACCCCAGTCAAGCTATAGAACATTTTTATCACCCCAGAAAGTATCCATACCCTTCCTGTCCACGATCCCCATCCCAGGCAACCACTGGTTTGATTTCTGAATACTTCAGTATGTGTTTCCTAAAAATAAGGACCCTGGTTTTTTTTTGTAAAAAAAGGCACATGTTTATTTTTCACTCAGGCATAAGCAAAGCAAGGTCATTCCTGGGAGAGGGGCATGACCCACCAGCAAAAGGGCTGTCATAGTGTCAGAGGGTGGGAATGGTGATAGCTTGAGGCCTGCAGTAAAAATATATATAGTGTAAGGGCTGTGCTGAGCCCCACCCAGGGAATGCAGTGGAGAATATATTGGCTATTATTAACTTGACAAATATTTAATAGTTTAGCCAAAAGGCATTTGCTGAGCAAAGGACCCTGTTTTACATAACCAAAATATAATTATCAAAATGAGGAAACTTACTCTGATACACTACTGTTAACTAATCTACAGACCTTACTCCTAATTTGCCACAAATGTCCTTTATCTGGTCCAGGAACTAATCCAGGTCACATCTGGCATTTAGCTGTCCTGTCTCCTTAGTCTCCCTTAACCTGGAACAGTTCTCAGTCTTTGTCTTTGATGACTTTTGACACTTTCGAAGAGTATAGTGATTGATTTAGGAGGTATCAGTGCAGCATTAGAGCTGTATTCCTTTTGTCATCTTTACTAATATTTTCATCTTTCCTACATTGGCCAGTGATGTGCCTGTGAATTGCCCGAGTATGACTTGTGTTTGCCTTTAAATTTTATCTTCCTTTTCTGAATATAAATATTAGGCATATAGTTCTAAGAAAAAATTAAGGCCATAAGATATATTTCTAGGTCTCAAATCCTCAAAAATAACTATGGATGTACATTCTTCTAGCCTTTAAGATAGCTTTTTATATCCTTTGCCCCTTTTTATATTGAGTTGTTTATATATAAAAGAAGCCTTTTATATAATGTGGATATTAGTCCTTTCCCATAAATTGTCATTCTTGTTCTCTGTCATTTTTCTTCTAAAATTTTTTATAATCTTCTACAAATAAGTTTTGAAGTCCTATGCAGTTAACTTTCCTTTTCCCTTGTTTGGCTTTGGGATCGTTGCTGTGAAAGGCTTTCTGTACCCTAAGGTTATAGAAATACTTTTCTACATTTTTTATTAGTTTTATCATTTTAAATTTAGATTCTTGAGCTATCTGGAATTTATTGTATATATGTGAGGTTGTATTCTAGCTTCATTTAACATGGTGTGGTGAGGCATTTCATCATCCATCCTTTCATTTAACAGATTTTTAGCACCTCCCTACCATGTGCCAAGCAGCGTTCTGGGTGCTAGGAAGGTAGCAGTGAATGAAACAGGTAACACCCCTTCCTCCTGGATCTTCTCTTCTAGAAAGAGGAGGCAGCAGTGAAGAAGAAATACTGCTGAGGACGAGGTTACGTGCTGTGATGGCCACGCAGCAGGGTGGCCTGGCTGAGTGTGACGGGGCACCTTTGAGGAGATGGCATTCAAACTGTTGTAAATCTCTTGAAATAATCTATTGAATAATCTGCTTATTCTCCATTTATTTGAAATGCTACCTTTAAAATATACTAAATTTATATATGTATATAAGATGTGCACATATAATATATTCACACACATACATACATGCATAAGTTTATTTTTCTGGATTCTGTTCTATTGCTCTATTTCTACTATAGTAACACACTGTTTGTTTTAGAATTTATTTTGTTATTTTATAAAGAAAATCCACCCCCCCCTTGTTTTTCTTTTCAAAATTTTGGTTACTGTACTGTTCTTATACATTTATCCTTAGGGTCAAATTTTGTTAACTGTAATCAAGTTCTAACAGAAACAGTTAAAAAGAAAAAATATGCAATTTGGATTTGGATTCATTAAATCTGTATCAATTTGAGGAAGATTACCATATTTACAACGTTTATTCTTCCTACTGAGTAAAAAAATTAACCCTTCATTTTATTTGGATCTTTCATTATGGATTTTGTTAACTTTGATCATGAGGCTCTTGCTTATTCCTAGTAAGTATATTCTGAGGTGTTTCATTTTTGTTGCACTGTGATTGGGATTTATCCATGATTGTGACTTTGTTAAAAAAAAAAAGAAGAAATTGGGTTGCTAAGAATTATATTTGAAGACACTTTGCTGTTGTGGTGCCTAAAACTTCATCGCTATTGTATCTTCTTTATAAAGTATACTTTCATTATTAAAATATCCCTATTTATTCCATTTGATAATTCATCTTTTTAAAGAATAACAATATCAAAAAAGCCCGTGTTTTAGGTTTAAGAAAACCTCTGCATAAAGGAGATAAACCCATGAAGCTGCTTATTTCAAACACCCTGAGCTACCCCGTGCTTAATGTAGTGCTGGGGAGAAAAAACGCATAATAAGTGGAAAGGAGAAGGGCAGAACACATTTTAAGGGATTAACAACAAATACATTTTATGAACGATACAGTTAAGTTTCACTTCAGCCTTTTAAAATGCCTTTCTGTACTAATCTACCCAGGGCTCCATAGTACGTTACATAGTAGGGACAAGCTCTGCAGCACGAGGGCTGGAGGTTGGGGGTGGGTAGGTTCTGCACTTAAGGGAATCTAGGGAATAGAAGAATCTAGGGAAGTGGGGAAGACCAGCATATAGTCCATAGGTGTCTGAGTTTGGGCTTTTAATTTTGCCCAATATGTTCAGCTAAAAAGACGATTGCCTTGTAATTAATTTACTGAAAGTAGAGTAATTTTTGGAAAGAGTGTCATATTTCTGATCTGTTGTTTTTCAGAAAGAAGGGGCTTATGTTTTGTTTCCACATGTATTCTACCTTATCTGATATTGATATGGTCTCCTCCATGCCTTTTTGTTTGTTTGCTTTTGTCTGCTATATCTTGTCTCTATCACCACCCCTTTTTAACAATTTTTTGGTTTGTGTTTTAGGTGTATCTCTTGTATGTGCCATATACTTGTGTTTTAAACCAATTTTACAGTTTTGTCTATTAATAGACAAAGTCAACCCATTTACATTTGTTGTTATGCATGTATCAAGTCTTTTTCTGGTTATTTAATGATTTGTCCTTATGATGCTTTCTTGTTTCCTTTCTTCTCCTTGCTTTAAATTTTTGAACCGATGATTTTTCTTGTTTCCTTTTCTTCCTTTCATAAGATGAAAATTCTGCCATGTATTTATATCCTGCTAGTAGCTACTTTTACTTTTCTTGACACTATTTGTCAGTGATTTTTAACATATTTTTGTTATTTTGATATATTGATTTAAAAGTATTAGGAGAAAATAATGAGGTAGAAAGATATATGATAAATTCTGTGCCTCAGGGTTGACACTTTTTCTGGAGTTCATAGCCAGTAGGATGTAAAATACACAACTTGCTTGGAAATTGATTTCATTCCATCTCTGGTCTCTCCAGTCCTTTTCTTTCCACTAACTTTCTCCCCTTTGCCTATTCACATATTACAGTGCTCTCTGTCCTTAAAGGAAAACCTTTTCCATTGCTTTATTTACATGACTTATTCCTTACTTCTTTTCATACAGTGTTATCTCTCATCTTCACAAAAAGTTTGAAGTAATTTCATCTGGCTGCTTCTGATTCCTGATCCTATCTTCCTCATCTTCTCCACTGTAAGCTGACTTCTTCCTTCACGACTCTTCTGAAATTAGCTAATTTTCGAATCAGCAGATTCTTTTCAATCATCATTCTGTTTGACCCACCCAGCTTCTGATAGTGTTGACTAGTCTCTCCTCTTTGAAACCCTCTTTCTCCTGAGCTTCAATCCTGAGCCTCCTTCCATCTCCCTTTCTGTCTTTCTCTCGCTCTTCCTCTTGCTGAGGATTGCTAGGGTCTTTTCTTGGCCTTCTCCTCACAACATGAGGAGTTGGATGGCCTTGGGTTCAAGCTGTATGATCTTGGAGAGGTTATTTAACCTTTTTGTTCCTCAGATTCCTCATCTGTAAAATGATGACTTTAATTCTGTCACTTTAGCAGGTTGTCCTTTGGATTAAATGAGCTGAGGCATACGAACCTCCTGTTAGTACAGAACTGAGTACAATGTGAGTTATCATTTATGGTAACTGCCACTCAGTTAGTGTTCCCTCCTTGTATTAGTTAGGGTTCTCCAGAGAAACAGAACCAATAGGATACATGTAGATATACAGAAAGAGATTACGAGGAATTGGCTCACACAATTATGCAGGACGAAGAGTCCCCATGATCTGCCATCTACACTCGTAGGGCCCAGGAAAGCCAGTGCTGCAGTCCCACTCCAAACGCGGAGGCCTGAGATCCAGGGACCAATGGTGTTAAGTCCTGATCTGAGTCTGAAGGCTCAAGAGGTAGGAGCATTTATGTCTAAGGGCAGGAGAAAATGGCTATCTCAACTCAAGCAGAGAGAGCAAATTCACCTTTCCTCAGCCTTTTTGTTCTATTTGGGCCCTCAGCAGATTGGATGACGCCCTCCCACCTCTTTGCTCAGTCTACTGATTCAAATGGGAGAACTCTCACAGAAATACCCAGAAATAATGCTTTACCAACTCTCTGGGCATACCTTAGCCCAGTCAAGTTGACACATGAAATTAACCACCATACGCATCAAACAAATAGTGAATGCTTACAGAGTTTTATTTCCTAGTCTAAGGGCTAGAAAACAAAGCTCAAATGGGCTTATAAATTTGAAATGCCATTTTCAAGTCCAGCTGGGTGTTTTGTTGGTTGTCTCATAGACCAACCACAGTCTAGATTTATCCTGTTTGCACATGCTTTCCCCGCATTAACGGGAATTCACACCCAGTGATTGTAAAGCCTAAAATTCCATGTGCTGCTTCTACAACTCTGAGCCTTAGGGAGCTCCAAAGACCTCGTTGTGAGTTCCCCTGCTCTCCCTGGATAGGCCCCCACCCACTGGGAAAGGCTCCACACCCAACTAGCTCCCCTGTCAGCCTGGCCAGGTACACCCCTCCTAATCCTCAACCTAATGGTTTTCACCTCCCTAGCAGCCCACGAAAGTGTTCAAACAAGCCAGTCACATCTTCCCGTGGGAACCAAGGGTCACCTCAGCCTCCTGTCAGTACCAAGTCTGCCTCCCACAGCCCCTGCGGTTCACTGTGCCTGAGTACAGGCCCCGAGTGGTCTTGCATGGCGTGGGGTTGTGAGGCCAACTTGTGACTAATGAACTCCTGTCAGGCTCATCTGTCCAGTGCTGGGTGTCATATATTCGGTCACTGTGTGCTATTTAGGGTGGGGAATCCCTCCTTCATCAATGGAGCGAATAGGGTACAATCAGAACACCACCTACTCTTCTCCAGCGCTAATCTAGAGCAGCCTTCACTATCCTTCCCTATGACTCCTTCTGCCTCCTCTTCCTGTCCTTAAATGTCAGAGCACTTTGTATATTTGTCTCCGATTATTTCATGATAATGTCGGTTTTTGTTGCGGATGTTTTGTTTCTTTTGGAGGATAATATTTTTCTCTCACAGATCTCTTCTGTCCCTTCTAGTGCTGCTTGTTTTTTTGTTTTTTAATTTCCATAGAGGGTGTTATTGGCATAATCCTTTGTTCAGCAGAAATTTATAGTTTCAGGAATCAGTGACATTCAAGGATGTGTCTGTAGAACTTACCTGGGAGGAGTGGGTCCAATCTAAATTCTGCTCAGAGGAACTTGTATGGGAAAGTGATACAGTAACCTGGTTTCGCTGGGTAAGGACTTCGCCTTGTAACTCAAGACCTACCTATTGCCATCTTCCCCACTATTGACATCTTGTACAGCCTCTGAAATTTGTGAATTTGGACTTGAAATCCTGATAGTACAGGACATTGTTTTAGGGTAGTTCCTTAGTGTCCTGTCTTTCAAGGTGAAAGGCCTTCTCTATAGAGAATGGAAAACTGGGAAATCTCAGAAGCCACACCTTCCTTTGTTACAGAAGCCCTGAAGATGAAGGGATAAGACATATGCTGGGAGTGGTTTTTATACTCAGTTCAGAAGTCAAATTTAGTGTTTTTCCTCCCGAGCAGGGCATCAGCTTTCCAAACCAAATGTGATATCTCAGCTGGATTGAGAACTGAGCCTGATGACAAAAGAACATCCAGGGTGCATTTCCCCAGGTAAGCATCTGGCTGCAAGAACTTGTTCCATGAGTGTCACCTTGGGGAGAAACCACTACAGAGGTCCCTGGGTCTCTTGAGACCTGTACCATTTGCTGTGTGTTTCTCAAATGCCTCTGCATTGTTGATGTCACTCATCCTGCCGAGGTCTTGCATGTGTCCTTACCTCAGTGGGAGGTAATATCTTATGAGGATTAAATGAGTTACTACATTTGTGACTCTTTTAAATTGCCTGGAACATACTGAACATTCAGTAAATATCAGCAGTTATTATTTCCTCTTGTCATCTTTTACTTTTTTTTTTTTTTTTTTTTTTTTTTTTTTTTGGCCATGCTGCGCAGCTTATGGGATCTTAGTTTCCTGACCAGGTATCCAACCCGGGCCCTTGGCAGTGAGAGCGTGGAGTCCTAACCACTGGACCACCAGGGATTTCCCTCATCTGTACTTTCAATCCCTGTCTTTCTATCCCGCTCTACTTTATTCTCTTTATTTTCTTTCGTGAATCTTCTCGGCCATTACCTATATCCATAGCTTCCTTTCCATTATTCATTTAAACATTTGTCAGCTTTTTAAAAGGAGACTAACATTTCTCTTCCTGTGAATTATATAGGTGTTTTATACAGTCTTCATTTAAAAACAAATGACGAGTGAGTTTAGCCCTGTTCTTTTTACTAGTAACCTTACATTTTATGTATTTCCTTTCTCATTCCTAAATTTTTAATCTGAATCTACTAATTTAATCCCATTCTCCTCTAAGCATTTAATGCTTCGTAATCTTTGTTATCTGCCTACTAATCCCCCTCACAACTGAAATTTCTTTATTAGATGTTATCGTGACTTTTCTCTGAAAAAATGCATTTTACACCTTTATCTTTTCTACTCATGTGAAAGTGTTGATCACTTCTTTTCATACACTGTTTAAAGAGTTAGGCACATATTTTTTGGTGTCTGGATGGTGTATGGCTATCTAAGTACAGAGCAATAAAAGAAATCAGTAAAAGAACGTTGATAGGAAAAAAATCATCTTGTGACCATCGCTGCTTGTTTCCATTAAGCTTTCTAAAGAACAGGATTCTGGAAGAGTCTCTGTGTCAAAGGATATATACATTTTTCTGGCTCTTGCTACATATTGTACAACTTTGGATATTATCTTATGCTTTTCATGCTAATTTTTAGGTATAGAATGATTGCTTAAGGTAGCTTTAATTAACCTTATTACAGATTTCTGTGGATTCAATTACTATTGCTATTTGTATTCTTACATAAATAACAAACAAATGTTTTTTGAGCACTGGGCCCTGTTCCTAACATTGGGTGTAGAGCAATGAGCAAAACAGGCAGAGTTTCCACGTGGAGTTTATAGTCTAGTCAGGGAAACAATAAATTAATCAAGAAAGAAGGCAGGGAAGGAGAAGGGAGAAGAAAGGAAGGAAGAAGGGAGGGACTGACTATTCATAGAGTCAGGTGCTGCGTAGAAAAACAAAGCATCATAAGGGAAGTAATCAGTTAACAGGAGTGCTGTTTTGTAGGGGTGATCAGGGAAGGCCTCTTCTTTAAGGTGACTACTGAACAGATACTCAAAGTGATGGTCATGTGGGAGCAGATTCTGGGCACAGGGAGCAGCAGGTGCAAAGACCTTGTGGTAAATTGCATGGCATTGTTTGAAGGGAAAATGTGAGATGTGAAGATTTCTTTAAACTTTGTCTTTCAGTCCTGTGAAAAAATTGATTTCTACTATCGTATTTTTTATTTCTATGAGCCTTCTCATCTCTAAGTGCTCCTTCTTTTTTAATAGCAATCTTTTAAAATGCATGTATTAACTTCTCTTGTCTGTATGAGGATATATAAATTATATTTTTGGTAGGGGTTTTTTGTTTTGGTTTTGGTTTTCTTTTGCAGCATTTTGCTCCCTAGATTATTTTAGTGCATTTATTTGTGACTTTTTCATTCTTTCACTGTCATGTTGGTGGGTTTTCTAGAAGCATCAAAGGCAAACAAAGGTATGGCTCATACTGGATTTTCCTCTCCCAGTTTTTTACCCACCTTCCAACTTCTCTATTGGGCTGAATCCTAAAGATTTATCACTTGAATATGATTACATTTCACACTGTATTTCTCTTGTCTCTTTGAATATCTATCTAGCCACTAGTATGTAGGCTCACTGAGTTGTCATGATTGAGCTTACTTTTATTTATATCCCCTGCCTAGCATGTTGTCTGCGAGAGTAGGTATTTAATATCTTTGTTGAGTGAATATTAGATGACATCAAGTAGAATTTTTAGTAATCAGGTAAAACTATAGCTTTGAAAATTATATTTATTACACTCATATCAATGAATATTTTAATTATCAGGAAGAGCGAATAAGAAGGGCAAAGCAGCAAGGATGGAATCTTGAGGAATAACATTTGACTGGGGGCCAAAGATGCTCTAGCAAAAGTGACAGAAAAAGTGGTCAGAGGGAGAGGAGAGAGTTATGGAGAGCTGGGCCAAGGGAAGAGAGAAAAACAGAGAAGAGTGCAACAGTGCTAAGTAAGAAATGAGAAACGCTATTGGTCTTAGTGTAGAGGAAGTGGCCTGTAACCCAGGGAGGAGCACTCTGGTGCTGCAGGACATGTGCCTGGGGAGAAGAGTGAAGAAGTAAACGAGGACTTTTATGGGGAATTCCCTGACGGTCTAGTGGTTAGGACTCTGCACTCTCATTGCCAAGGGCCTAGGTTCAATCCCTGGTCACGGAACTAAGATCCCACAAGCCGTGTGGCAAGTCCCACCACCACCACCCCGCCCCCCACCTCCCCAAAAAAGAGAGACTTTTAAGTACAGACTATCCTTTCAACAAAGTTAACTTTGAAGGAAAAGGAAGAAAGGGCAGGACCTGAAAGAAGTCAGATGTAGAATGCCTCCGATTTGTTTTTTACTGAGATAGAGACTTGAATGTATTTACAAGAGCAGAGAGGTACCTGTTGGAGAGAAGGAAATAAAGACACAGAAAAGTGGAGGAAGAGAACGGAGCTCAGAAAACATGATGATGTGCAAATTCCAGATCTTGTTCTTTCTAGATTTTCTTTGATGTTACTGCCAGTTAGTCTCATTATGCTGTCCAAAACCAAGAGGGGAAAGCGGCAACCAAGTGCTGTGCTCAGCTCTTCCCCAGGTATCATCTGATTTACCTCCCTGTGTGAGTAAATGTATATGTGTGTACACATGCACACACAAAGGGAGAGAATTTATGTGCTCTTACCGAGTCCCCATGTACCTTCATGCCACCTTCATAATGAGCCTCATTAATGGTTAGTACAGGCACATATCTTTGCTTCCAGTAGGAAAACTAATCTAAAAGACTGTAATCAATGTAGGTGAATCCAAAAAGTTTGTTCATCCTTGCACAGGCTCTCAGCACTGGTGGTTCCTTCTGCCTGGGATGCTCTCCCTTTGATAGTCCTGTGACACCCTCCTTGGCCCCTAACGTCTTGTCTTCAGTGTCACCTTGTCAGTGAGGCCTTTCCTGAAGATTGTATCTAAAATTACAAACTTTTCCCCTTACCCATCATATTCCCTATTTCCATTTTATTGCTTTTATTTTTTCCATAAGGTATACCACTTAAATACTAAGTGTTTTACTTATTTATTATGTTGATTACCCTTCTTCCTCTCACTAAAATATAAGTTCCTCCAGGGCACTTTTGTTCATTGCTGTATCCCTAGCACCTTGAACAGTGCCTCACTCAATAAATAGTTATTGAGTGAATGATTTATCATGTTCAGAAGATCGATCTGGCTGCTTTGTGGAGAATGCACTGTAGGGTAGCGAGAGTGTTACGTAGGAAGTCCAGTCAGGTGAGTACTGAAATAGTCTGGTTGAATGGAAGGAGTAACTTAACTGTTAGGCTGGAAGAAATATAAAAGGAGAAAAGAAAGAAATCAGCTTGCTCTAGGAAGAGCAGGGCCTGCTGCCCAAGTCTCTCACCCAGGCCCCCAACCCCTGGTCAAATACTCTGCAGGCTCTTGGCCTCTACTATGGCCAGTCCCAGCCATAAATACTGAAAGAGCTGTGCTTTCCCATACCCCTTGGTCCTGGGGGCTCTTATGTCCTGATGAGTACCAAAGTTAATATAAATCCTAAAGGACTATAAGGGAGTATGGGCCATCACTTGAAAGAACTGCTTAGGAATAAAGGAACGGAAGAGAGAGCTGTATATTGTTTGACATAAAATAATAATGATAACCTCTAACAATCATTGACCTCTTATTGTGGCCAAGCATAAAGCTGTGCATGTTACAGGTCCTTATTTAATGAGAGCAAAATGGTAAGGATTGGAAATGTCGTCCAATCCTGAAAGAGCTATGGTTTTGATATTTAGTGCTCAGTTCCAGGCTTCAATACTTCACTAATATGAGTAAAGCCACCTTAACAAGTTTATGTTTTCCACAGAGACAGTTATGTAATCTGGGAAAAATGAAATTTCCTCCCCTCTCATTTGTCTAAAAGTGGTCACACTTTTGGAACAATATTAAATAGTTGCAGTAATAGTAAGCATCCTTTGCTTGATTCTGTTTTTTAGTGTGAATTCTTCTAGTGTTTTCTTTTTATGCTTGGTACAATGCTAATATTTTTGTCTTTGAATCAGGATTGGATGTTGGATATTATCAAACACTTTGAAGCATCCATCAGGTTGATCATATGCCCTTTTTTCCATGACCTATTAATATATTACTAGATTCCTAATAGTGAGCAGTCTGGAATTCCTGGATAAATCCTTTGTTCAAACATAAAACATTTAAGTAACATTTCAGGAATGCTTTAGGAGTATTGCAGTTTCTGAATCTTTCATATTTAAGAACATGTATTGTTTTTTCCTATGCATGTATAGCGTACTGGCTATGTGGAATTCTTGAGTCACATCAGTTTTTCCTCAATCCTTTGTAGACATGACTCCACTGTCCTTCGCCATCCCATGTTCTTGGAGAGATCACTTAGGCCAGTTTTAAAAAAATTTGTAGGGCAGTCTATTTTTTTTCTTTTTCTTAAGCAACAAATCTTCAGAGGTAACTTTTTAAGTTAGGTCTCTAAATTCCATGAAGATATACTGAACCCTTACTATTAAGTTTTCTGCAGTATATGTTTCAACTTAAAATGATCAATATTTTCCAAAATAGAAAATATTTTGTTGTTCTTCTCATTTGTTTTTTGAAATGTCATATATACAGAAGAATGTGTAAAATATGGGTACTACTTAGCAAAAACCTGCCTAGTCTTCTAAGCCCTTTATAAATATCAGCTAATTATTGTTCACATATCAACACTAGATAGGTACCATTTAACAGATGAGGAAACTGGAGCACAGGACAGGTTAAGTAATCTGCCCAAGGTCGCACAGCTAACAGTGATGGAGCCAGGCGGTCCGGCTCCAAAGTTGTTGTCTTAACTGTACTGCTTTTCTTATAGTTCATGATGATAAAAATGAATGAATAATAACAAAAGAAAACACCCAGGCACCAGAGCCCAGAGTCAGATTCAGAAACGGAACACTGCTAGTACCCTAGTAGCTTTATATGCACCTCCTCATTCCCATCCTCTTCCTCTACCCAAGACATAACCACTGTTCTCACTTCTGTGATAAATCCCTTCCCTTGCTTTTCTTTATAGTATTGCTATCCACAGATGAACAATATATTTATAGTCTGTTTTTAAACTTTATCTAAATGGACTCTTACTGTATTTATTTTTCTGTGACTTTGCTTAAATTATTCATTTATATTGATATGTGTGGCTTTAGTTTATTAATGTTTACTGTCTTAGGCAGTTCAGGCTGCTATAACATAATACCATAGACCAGGTGACTGAATTTATCAGACATTTATTTCTCATAGTTCCAGACGCTGGAAGTCTGAGGTCAGGGTGCTAGCATGGATGGGTTTTTGGTGAGGGCCCTTCTCCTGGTTCACAGAATAGAGCAAGTTCCCTCATGTGTGCCACTTCTTATCAGGGACTAATTTTATCAGGGCTTTACCCTCATGACCCAAAGACTCCCACTTCTTAATATTGTCTCACTGGGGATTAGGCTTCAACATATGAATTTTGGGGAAAAGCAGACGTGAAATCCGTAACATTCACTGTTTTCATTTCTCTTGTATAAGTATTTGACAATTTAGTTATCCTTTCTCTTGTTGGTAGACATTTGGGTTGTTTCCAGTTTTTTGCTATTGTACACAATGCTACTTTAAAAATTATGAATCATGGTGAACCTTTACAATATAGATTTACCTAAGTGTATGTACCTACTAGTGGATTTGCTAAATCTTATAGTCTGTGTGCCTGTTCTACATTCTAGGTAGTGCTAAACTGTTTTTCAAATACTTGAACAAAATTACACTCCTACCAGCAGTATGTGAAGCTCCCCATACTGCACATCTTTCTAAATTCTGAGGCTGTCAGTTTGAATTTTTGAATTTTGTTTCTCAGGTGGATGTGGTAATAGTATCTCACTGAGGCTTTACTCAACCTTCTCCTGGTTACTGTTGGATTGGCATCTTTGCTTACGTTTACTCACTATTCAGGTTTCCTTTTCTTTTTCTTTTTTAAAAATAAATTTATTTATTTATTTTTATTTTTGGCTGCATTGGGTCTTCGTTGCTGTGCATGGGCTTTCTCTAGTTGCGGCGAGCAGGGGCTCCTCTTCGTTGCGGTGCGTGGGCTTCTCATTGTGGTGGCTTCTCGTTTCAGAGCACAGGCTCTAGGCGCGCAGGCTTCAATAGTTGTGGCATGTGGGCTCAGTAGTTGTGGCTCACGGGCTCTAGAGTGCAGGCTCAGTAGTTGTGGTGCACGGGCTTAGTTGCTCCACAGCATGTGGGATCTTCCCAGACCAGGGCTCAAACCCATGTGCCCTGTGTTGGCAGGCGGATTCTTAACCACTGCGCCACCAGAGAAGTCCCCAGGTTTCCTTTTCTTAAGTGTCTATTCAAGTCTTCTGTCCATTTCTCTAGTGGGCTTAGTGTTAAACAGATATTGTTTTCCAAGTCTAAGTTCTAGAGCTCTTTTTGGGTCATGTGTTGCAAATCCCTTCTCCCAGTATGTAACTTTTTTTTTTTTTTTCATCTTTTTTTTTTTTTTTTACATTTTTTGAACACTGGAAGCATTTATTCTTCCAATGTTTATTCTCCCATTTGGTTTTAATGCTTTCCCCCCAACCCCTTGTTCTCCTGCTTTTATTATTTTAAAATTTTCTTGAACCTCTACCTAGTTTCCAAATTTGATATTTTCTGTGTGTCATTCATCTTTGAATAGTTTTGTCTGTCTGGACATTGTATTTGTCTAACAGTGTGAATAGATGTCCCATGTCCTTTATGTTGTTTACTGGGTAGCACTTGGAATGATCTCAAAGAACTTCAGTTGGATAGCTGGATATGATAGAGTGAAGTGGGGCAGGAGGCAGCCTCCAGTTCATGTGTTGCCTGTTGGTATTTCATGCTTGACTGGATAGGTCTTCTCTGAGGTTACTTGGTGGTGTGTGTGTTTTACAGGTGGAGCCTGCTTGGCTTTCCACTTTTTCTGTTTTATGTAACCAGGTCAGATTGGAAGGAGGAAGTCCAGTTCATGTGTATCTTTTGCTTCATAGTAAACCTCCTGCCCACAGACCTTTGGTCTGTTGGTTCAGTGTTGATAATTTTGATCAAGCCGACAAGGTGATTCTTGGATTGTAGTCCCTGTCCTCTGCCTCTCTGCCTCCAGGATGTTTTGTCTGGGATAAGAAATGGGATCTGAGAAAATAAAGTCTGAGTGGCTACAAGGCCTTTCCTTCAGCCCCATCTCAAGCAGTTCAACAGATTCTCCCCTACCTGCCTCTGCCACCAGTTCTTATCTGTAAGGAATGGATATTTAGGAAAGGGTAGGGCCCTTTAGGACTCTCTTACCTAAAGAGAGTGAGAAAATCACATGCTCCTTGTGGAGAAGAGGAGCTTTTAGATTTTGCCATCCTCCCTTGAGAGTTTAAGTTTCAAGTATGTTCTGGTATTTTATGTTCCAGACAAGTATGTTCCCTAAGCATAGTTTATATACATTAATTTACTTAATCCTTATCAGATTATTTTATCCTCATTTTATATCTCTGAAAACTCAGAGAAACAACTACTTAAGATGATAAGTGATTAACAGCCAGTGTTTAAACCCACGTTTGTCTGACTCTGGGGTAAACAATCTTTTCACTGTGTCACACTGTGATGTTTTATGAAGATTTAGTATCAGAATTATAGGCAGCCTTCGGGAGGGAAGAAACTGCTGGTAGGAGTACCAGATAAATGTTCCAGGGCTTTGTGATCTGCCTCTCCCAATCCCAGCTCGTCTGTATATCTTCCCTTAGTTCCATCTTCATTATTTAGTCTTGTCCAGTGGTCAGTGATTTCAGTATCTATCCCTCCTGCATAGGCTCACTCTTTCCTCTGCTTACCCTGCTTCTAGTTTCCCTGTTATTTATGGACGGCTCACTGTTTTTCCCTCCCTTCCAATTCTCTTCCTAATTATAGGGACATCTCTGAAAGCTCTCAGATGTGCCCTATAGTTATTCTCAGTTTCATTCTCTTCTTCCTGCCTTATACAGTTTTCAGCACAGAAACCAATGTGTATTTGAATTTTTATTTTTTTCAGACTGGGAGATAAGACTTGAAACCAAAGAGTCAACTACAAAGCCCTAATTACTGAAGATTTATCTTATGGGGTAATAATGGAAAGAGAAGGTCTCTGGCATTCTTCTTTAGGGGAAACCTGGGAACCTGATAATTGGTTAGAGGGGCAACAGAAAAACCAGGATAGACATCTGGGCCAAGTGCACATTACGCATAAGGAAACCCTCACTGTGAGAAGGACATGTGGAGGTAATGAATTTGAAAGATGTTTCAGTCAGGGTTCAATCATTGATACACAACAAACTATTCCTGTGGGGAAAAGTCCTCACAGTTGGAATTCACATGGAAAAGACACTAAACAAAATGCTGAATTAATTAAAACTCAAAGAATGTTTGCAGGAAAGAAAATCTATGGATGTAATGAGTGTGGGAAAACCTTCAGCCAGAGTTCATCCCTCCTTAAGCACCAGAGGACTCATACAGGGGAGAAACCCTATAACTGTAATGTATGTGGGAAGCACTTCATTGAACGCTCCTCGCTTACCATACATCAAAGAATTCATACTGGAGAGAAACCTTACAAATGTAACGAATGTGGGAAAACCTTCAGTCAGAGCATGAATCTTACTGTTCATCAAAGAACTCATACTGGAGAGAAACCATATCAATGTAAAGAGTGTGGAAAAGCTTTCCGCAAGAATTCATCCCTTATTCAGCATGAAAGGATTCATACTGGAGAGAAACCCTACAAATGTAATGAATGTGGTAAAGCTTTTACCCAAAGTATGAATCTCACAGTGCATCAAAGAACTCATACAGGAGAAAAACCCTATGAATGTAATGAATGTGGAAAAGCCTTCAGTCAAAGTATGCATCTTACTGTACATCAGAGAAGCCATACTGGAGAAAAGCCCTATGAGTGTAGTGAATGTGGAAAAGCCTTTAGTAAGAGTTCAGCTCTTACCCTGCATCAGCGAAATCATACTGGAGAAAAACCCTACAAATGTAACAAATGTGGGAAGTCCTTTAGCCAAAGTACATACCTTATAGAGCATCAGAGACTTCATTCTGGAGTAAAACCTTTTGAATGTAATCAGTGTGGGAAAGCTTTCAGTAAGAATTCATCTCTTACTCAGCATCGGAGAATTCATACTGGAGAGAAACCTTATGAGTGTATGATATGTGGGAAACATTTCACTGGGCGATCATCCCTTACTGTACATCAGGTTACTCATACTGGAGAGAAGCCTTATGAATGCAGTGAATGTGGAAAGGCCTTCAGCCAGAGCGCATACCTTATTGAGCATCAAAGAATTCATACTGGTGAGAAGCCCTATGAATGCAATCAGTGTGGAAAAGCCTTCATTAAGAATTCATCCCTTATAGTGCATCAGAGAACTCATACAGGAGAGAAACCCTATCAGTGTAATGAATGTGGAAAAGCCTTCAGTCGGAGTACAAATCTTACACGGCATCAGAGAACTCATACGTGAGGGAAGCTTCCATGGGATCCTTCACCGTGGTGAACCCTTCAGTGATAATCAGATCAGTCATGTGATGTAGAAACCTAATAAATGTAACGATTGTAGTAATCTTTTAGTTGAAGTATAATATACCATATCAGAAAATACAGACCACTGCAGAGAAACCATATAAAAGTGGAGAAATCTTGATTCAGAAAGTAAAACTTTATACCAGGTTTAAGTAGCTAATGTTCTAAGCAATGAGGATTCATGCTGAAGATAAGTTCTATTGTATTATACTGCAGATCCTCCTTTGGACATCAGAGACTTCACACTGGAGAGGAAATGTGAGAGTGCTTAACTGGATAGCCCAAAGACCTGGTATGTAGTCCTGATCTGCCACTAACTTGGACAAGTCACCTACTTTCACCAGGTCCCAGTGTCCTTATTTGGTAAATGAGGGATTTTAGATTTAGAAGGCTCCAAGATCCCTATAAGATCTAAAATGCTACAAACATAAATATGCTTGATTTTTCACCTATGTTATCTAGATGTTCCTATTCCATAATCTGGTTTCTCTGAATGTTTTGAGTCAAAACTCTCTACCTCTACCAACTTCTATTATCCCTCCATGTCCTTCCCCCTCTCCCTGTTATTTTCTCCTCTGAAATATTGGCTGCTTGCTACCAGATGATAGAATAATTGTGCAAATCTTAATGCAATAGCATGCTGTTTTAAGTTCTCAATTAACAGTCATTAAACTATTGTTAAATAAGCTAATTACTTAGAAAACAATATAACAAATATAGTCTTTGAGTACATAGGATTCAAATACATCTTTGTGTTGTACTCTAACTATCAGAGTGGAAAGCAGAAGAGGCTGAACACTAACAGACATGAAAATTTGACATATTAACAAAATCTTTGCTACTCACAACATATTCAAAACAATCATAGAGAAAAATTTTATAGATCTATAGTTATGAGAATAGTTAAGGCAATTTATTTTATACACATTTAATAAGTGCTAAATAGGTGCTAAATATGATTAGGAAATCAAACTGCATAAGATTGTTTTGTTTTCTAAGGGCTGAACCGAGAAACTGGCAGTGGGATGGGAGAGGAAGGGAAGAATTCAAGCAATAATAAGGCAGAATCTAGGTAATGTAATCAATTAAATGTGAGCACTTGAATTTATCTGGGTGGATGGGTGCCATAATTAAGAACACAAAACGTTGACTGACTTTGTGGGGCAATGATGAGTTTGGTCTGGGGGTATTTTATGAGTCTGTGGGTATCCAAGTGAAGATTCCTGATAGGCAGTAGAATAAGTAGAAGGGGCAGTGATAAAGGGTTTTTTGGGAGTACTGTCTTTGAATGAAGTGGAAGGCATCATCAGTAGAAGCTGAGGGGAAACAACAGGCAAAAGAAAAATGAAAAACAAAGAAAAATCAGGAGAAGGTGGTGGCATAGAAAAAAGAATTTTAGCATAGGGATAGGAACATTTCATATTTTCAAATGTCACAGAGGATTAAAGTAAGATAAAAATAGAAAATGGCCTTTGGTTTTGGTTATTGGTAACCTCTGTAAATTTTAGTGGGTTGAAGAGTGACTTAAAGGTTGAAAAGGACTTAGTAGTTTGAGAAAGGAGAGATTTAGGAAGATAACTAGAGAGAGATTGTGGTTGAGAGAGGGTGTATATATCAGAAGAGCTTTTGGCTACAAATAATAGAAAGCCCAGATAACAATGGCTTACAAGCAAATAGGGATTTGTTTTTCTCCCATAACAAATCTGGAGGTGGTTGGCATTGGTTCAGACAAAATAATTCAATGCCTTGAGTTTCATGACTTTTTCATCATGTCACATGATGGCTCCTATAGCTTCAGGTAAAATATCTGCATTCAGAGCAGGAAGAAAGGGGGTGTGTAGCACCAGCAACATCTGTGCCTTTTATCAGAAAAGGTTTTCCCAGAAGCCCCTCAGCGGACTTCTGCCTAAACCTCACTGACCACAGCTGTGTTGCATGGAGGCTAGGAGCAAAGGAGGCCGAAAAAAATAAGTACTTAGCTCTTCCAGCCTCTATAGAGGAGGTAGGCAAGGAAAAGGGGGGATTGAGAAAGGTGGTGATTTAGCCAATGAATAATCTGCCAAGAGCATTTGTATGATTTAAGGTAGAAGAACTGAGCATGTTTATCATCACTGCATGGGAGAGTCTGAAGGTGCAGAAAGGAGGGGATGTGCAGCTCAAAGTGGGGAAATAAGATTTGGGGCACAGGTGGAGGCTGCAGGGACCTTTTTTCAACAGGAGGAAGGAAACTTTCCACTGGGAGAGGTGGGAATCAAGAAACGATGGGTACAGAAGATATCTGTGGGTGGCAATGGAGGAGGTTCCCCATGGACTCTGAGTGTTTGGAATTTGAGCAGTTTGGTCTCTTTGGGCTACAGGACCTCTATGGAATTAGAAAAGGCAAGGACTAAGGAGGAATGAAACACTGAATTAATTGTAACCTCAGAAACTTAAGATTTTAAATAATGTCTCTCCCTTGCATCCAGCTTCTTCCTTTCTCTTCATGTATCTTCTTGTTCCCCACCTGATCTCGAGACAGAAATGGAGGGGAAGAAGGAGGCAGAGAGATGGGTAGAAAACAGATGGAAGATTATAAAGACAGTAGCAAAATTAAAGGCTCAAAAGAAGGCAGAAGACAAGGGGGATAGGAAGAATAAAATGTGTTGAAGCCTAAGATGGATGCAATAACCCCAAACTGGTAAAATATTAACACTTAGAGGGAGCAGCAGGAGAAATGGGTCAGACAAATGGGTCAGTAGAAGGTTTCACTACTTTTTCAGGAGTTTTGGAAGCTTCGGGCCCTTGTATGTCAGTGCTCAGCCATTCTGGGCAACAAGTCAGGAGGAAACTTCTGCACCTTTCCTCTATCAGCAGGAGCAGGACTCCTGGTCCCACTTACTAGACATGAGACCTTGGGCAAGGCACTTAATATATCGCTGTCTCAGTTTTCTTATTTGTTAACAGTGCAAACCTCATAGCTTTGGATTACATTCAATACTAATGTAAAGTGCTTATGAAAGTGCCCAACACATATTTAGTGCTCAATAAATATTTTATTATTATCCTTACATATCTGAAAACAGAACAATATCCAAACTCCTTAGCATGGCATCCACAACCCTTAGTTATCTTAGGCTCTCAAAGCAAATGCCTTGTAGGAAGGTGATATAATTGTAGGAGGCTCTCTCTTCCCCCCACCCCACCCCCACTGGTGTAACAGCCTCCTAACTGGTTTCCCTGTATTCCCTCTAGCCGCACCACAGCCTGTTCGCCCCACAGCGGACCAGTGATTCTGTCAAAATGTGTTCAGCCAAGCCACTCTTTTGCTCAAACCCCTTCAATGGTTTTCTGTCACACAGAGAATACATGCAAACTTTTTACGATGTCCTTCAAGCCCTCTAATTACCCTTCCAACCTCCTCTCCCACTCTCCCTTGTTCACTATGCCCTCTCCTGTCACACTGGCCTTGCTAAACCACAGGCTCACCAAGCACACTTCTATCTCTGGTCAGCATCTGTTCTCTTCCCAGATATGCACATGGTTTCCTTCCTCACTACATTCAAATCTCTGCTCAAATGTTACCTCCTCAAAGAGAACTTCTCAAAACGCTGCTGAAAATAATTCCCACCTCCCCACCCCCGTCACACTCTAAACCGTAACACAGCCTCAATGTGTCATCACTACCTCATCAATATTTTCTGTTTATTGAGTACCCCCTCTAGTAGAATTCCACCTGCATAAGTTCAGGGTTTCACTATTTCTCCAGCCCCTAGAACAATGCCTGACACATAAATGCTCCAAAAGTGTCTGTAGAATGAAATCTTCAGTAAAAGCCAAAACAGAATGCCATAGTGTTACGTAAGTAAAGTCACTGACACTGCTCACTAAGAGGTCCATTCTTGGCTTTTTTTCCGCCACCGACAAAGTTAAAACTCTCTCATCTTTCCTTCCGGAGCTCCGTGAAAATTCAAAGGCAACTAAGTATCTCCAGTCGGATCTTTCTATATTTTACCTCATCCTTGCCCGCCTCCGCAAAATACTGTCCACAAAAATAAATACCACCCAGTTGTACAAGACAGACTCCTTGGCATCCAGCTCCTTCCTCCTGATAAGTCGTGGAGAACCAAGTTTATTCTACCTGTCGACGTTTCTCGCGCCGTGCCCTTGGTCCCGTGGCCACCACTCTGGTCCCAGCCACTATCCGCTGGGTCCTGAACTGCCGCAGCAGCCTCCTCACTGGTCCGCAGGCCTTCTGCCCGCACCTCCGTCCTCCCGGTCCCCGGGCCCCACTCATCGCCCGAACCACGCCCCAGCACGAACGCCAGGCCACACTGTTAGCTTTTTTTGCATCCCCGTGGCCGAGGCACAGTCCCGCTGCCTTCTCAAGTCATCTCCGCGCGGTCCTCCCTCAGGAACGCTCCTTTTCGACTTGTCGCCTCCTTCTGAGTCCTTGGGGGCCGTCCTGGATCAGCTCTACTCACCGGATCAGGTGCCACTTCCTCGGACTGACCTTCCTCATCCCTTTGTTAACTTTTCGTTGGTCTCTGCCTTCCCTAGTCTGCCCCAAACGGAACCAAATCCTCACGTGCGGGTTAGCGCGCGGGTGGTTACCTGCCTAGGGAACCGTGACGCCTCCGCCGAGGTCCCTGGGAAATGTAGTTTCTGCAAGGAAACCCCCTTGGCCTGGGGCGGGTGGGGGGTGGGAGTGTTGAGCGGCGGGGCCCTAATCTGCTCAGGCGCGAAGTATCAGTTTCTCCGCCCGGCGCTGGTGCGGGCGCTTGCCGCCGATTCGCCCTCTGGGAAGTGGAGTCTGCGAAGCAGAAGCGCTGCAGCTCTCTGACTTGAGGGAATCCGGCTCGGCGGGTCTCCCGGCAATGCGCAAGCGCAGTTCCGATACGGACTGCAGACTCCACTTCATTGTGTTCTGCCTGCGATGTGGCGGTGGCGGTCTCTCGCCGCGGGCAGAGGCTCCTCGAAGGGCAACCCAGTGGTGACTAGACACGGTGGCCGAAGCCGCATCGGGAGAGCGGGAGCAGCCTTGGGGTGGTGGAGCCCGGTGGGAAGGGCGGATGAAAACCGAGTAGGTCTGGGTCGTGGTCCGTTCTGAAGGACGGTAATCTGATGCCCCAAACTTCCCGGGACGTATGGCTAAGGTTTGATTCCAAAGACAAAAAGGCCAGGTGTGAGCTCTCGGGTTTAGGGTCCGAATCTGCGGGTGCATGTGGAAAAGGATGCGGTCAGGGCCTCTGGCGTGTGTTTTGGAAACGACTCCGGGAAGCCCATTTACGCTCTGTGGTAGATGCTCCCGGTGTGGTCCGGATCACAGTATCCGGAACTCGCTGAGGCCGGGTCAGCAGCTGCGCAGCCCCTGCAGCAGCTTCCCAGGGGACCTGGCAGAGGGCGGGAGGGTGGGTTGTACGATTAACATTCGTGGCGCCCAACGCCCACTCCCACCCCCACCCCGCACAAATACACAGCTTCTCTCCCACCTTTGACTCCAGGTCTCCCAAACTGGGCGCCAGAGAAGGAGAGGCTTGAGGCCAGAGAACGGCATGGCCTTGAGAGACGTCTCGACAATGAAAATCCAGCCTTCTTAGCTTCTTTTCTAGGAGAAAGAAGACGACCCTCCTTCTCTACTTCTTTCACTCCCCGCCCCAGGATTAGGCAGCCGTCCAGGCAGGAGACACACTTTTCTTGAGATCTCTCAGCATAATTTAAGGGTAAAAGGCTGGAGAGTGTGTAGAAAGTGTGAAAACGGGCTGGAGGATGCTTTCTTCAAGAAAAGTCAAAGTATTTAAATACAGAAGGGAAGATATGGAGGATCTGACTCAGATTGCTAGGGGGAAAATTGGTGCGGGGTGCTGGGAGTAGCTGCAAGGTGAGCTATTCCCTTTACAGGGGAGACCATCAGAAAGACCCTCCAGGAGGAGAGAGGATTGGGAGCAAATAGGGACTAAGAATTCACTACCTGGAGTATTGGAGGATTCCCAGGGTGTGAATGCTCAAAGCCCCACTCTGGACTGCTGTGTGGTATCTTTTGACCCAGTCCTCTCCTCATAAACAGTAGAAGGTGTTACCAGCCTGAGGCTCATCAGAGAAGAAGGAATGGCAGTCAGGTGCCTGCCAACCGTGGTCCAGGTGAGTGAGGGATTGCTGTGGGCTTCCCCCTCTAAATTGCCTTAGGAGATTTGAATGTAGTAGTTGAGGAGGGTGGGCCTGTTTCTTTGCCCTGACCAGGAGCTTTTCTCCCAGTCCAGTCTCACTCAGGAGCCTGACCCGCTCCTGCCCACCCCCCCATCTTGGGCACATCCTGGTGGGTGTCAGAGCTCAGGAACTTCCTAAAGCTCACCTAAGTGACACAACTGGAAGTGAAACCCAGGTTGGTCCAAAGTGGAAACCTGTGCTCTTTCCACTAGCAAGTAAAATAAGGGTCTAAAGTGGTAAAGGCAGTACCTAACATAGGAGTGATAGAAGAGAGAAATTGGAATGCTTTCTTAGAAAGGTGGGATTTACTGGGCTTTTAAAGAAAATTATATTTGGCTTTTTACTTCAGAGGAATATTGGGTACAAATGAAATCATTCAAGTGGTATGTTTTCAATTTCAATAAATTACTGAAAAGCTTTGAGCAGTGCTAACTTCATTAGAATAAGGGTATGGACTCCACTTTGAAGGAGACAACATTCATTTGAATGTACAAATTCTGATGAATTTGGTAAATTTGTTCTAATTCATTCACACTTAAACCTGTCCAGGGCAGGAATCTGTGGCAGAAATCACTGGAAGGGCTGAGCAGCCGATTGAAAGTACCATGTCAACCCAGTCCCAGCTCACTGGTTGCTCACCCTTCTCCTTGGTTTCTAGCTTGTCCTTTAGAACCCATCTCAGGCACCACTTTTGTTTTGAAACCTGTCTTCACGGTGCCAGTCCACTGTGATATTTCTCTTCCCTAGCCTTTTCCTCAAATTCATTGTTGGTGTCACACAATTATCTTGTGTTTACAGGCTGCCATAATTTTGGTTGCCATTCAGCAGACCTGTATTAGGGATGTAAAATGTGCCAGGTATTAGATCTATGCCCATGATAGAAAGGTGAACAATGTTCCCTGACAGATTGGTTCATGGGTTCAGTCCAACAAATGTTCCTTGGTTCAGCCTACTTTGTGCAAGGCTCTGGGTGCAGGTAACAGAAACCTAACTCAGACTACCTTAAGCAAAAGCAGGTCTTTATTGGAAGGACACTGGGATATTGCCCAAAATCCAAAGGCCAAAATGCACCTGTACTTCAGCTAGGCAAGTGGGGTCTAGAATAATCTAAAAGTCCTTTCTCTTGGACCCTTGCCTTTCTTCTCTGGGCTTCTACTTAACTCTTCCTTCTCAGTTCACACCAGCTCTCTTGGCCTCTCAGCCAAGTGTTTCCACAGAAGGTACTAGCTGTGATCAGAGGGAACAAGGTCACATTGTCCAGAAGGACTGTTTCCATGGGAACCGTGTATGTGTGTTGGGTTCAGCTGAAGAAAAGCAGGAGTTGCTGAGTAACACATTTGTAACAGGTGCTGGGTACATCGGCCATGTTCTAGAAGACATGATGGGAAGACAAGGGAGATGTGGAAATGGTCCATAGCTTCTTGGAGTTAACACTCTAGTGGGGGAAACCAAAAGTAAACCAAAACTCAGTAAAGTGGGACAGTGCTTGGATGGCCTTGCACAGGTGATCTGGGAGCAGTTGAGGAGGGATGCTGAAGAGGTAATGCTGAAGCCAAGACCTGGGTAGGATTGGTCATAGGGGTGGGGGTACAGGCAGGGCTGTGCAGATTGATGGAGATGGGAGAAAATGTTTTGGGCAAGATGAACAGCCAGTGTGAAGTCCCAGTGCTGAGGAGGCCTGTCCTCTCCACAAGGTATTTTTCTTCAGGGGAACGAAGTCTGATAAAAGCTTGACCCCTAGGAGACCCTGAGGAAGTGCTTCCCTTGTCACAGAACACCATCCCCCTTCTATGCTAACAGCCCTGCAGACGGTCACAGCATTTCCCAGAGAGTCATGTGGGGGAGTAGCCACCAGTCAACGGGGATGGGTTTGCCCTTACAGGAATCAGTGACCTTCAAGGATGTGGCCGTGCTTTTCACCCAGGATGAATGGGTGCAGCTGAGCCCTGCTCAAAGAGCCCTGTACAGGGATGTAATGCTGGAGAACTACAGCAACCTGGTGTCCCTGGGTAAGTGGGAGCCTCTGAAGTCTCATCTTCATATTTGGAGATTTCTTTGGGACCCGTAAACTGGTTCCATACAGAAGTTTGGGCTGGGAGTGAGCTGTTCTGAGGATGTTATCTCAGTGCCTATCCTTTGTGTCCTGGGCACAGGGCTCTTTGGAGTCTAAGTGCAGATGTCTCAAAGGTGACTAGAGGTCGAATCCTCCCTCCCTTCCAGCAGAGAGAAAGACGGGAACAGATTCTCTGTGTCAGGCCCAAACCATCTCTTCCTCCTTCTGGGAACTGTTGTCTACCCTGGGCCCCTATCAGGTCACCTTTTCCAGGAAGTTCTATGGACCATACCTCATCCTTGCAATGATTTTATCTCTGGTATGAACAGATATGGCCCATTTTTTTTTTCCCCTCTAAAACAGGACTCTTAGGACCCAAGCCAGATATGTTTTCCCAGCTGGGAAAGGGGGAAGAATGGATGCCGGAGGACTCCTTGGGAGGCTTCTGTCTTGGTAAGCATGCTGCATGTGGGAGGCATTGGGAGGAACACAGCACGTGCGCCAGGCCTGTGGACTGAGAAACGAGCATCTTTTCCCTTCATGTTCACCCCAATACCTTGTTGCCATATTTGTCCCCACGTGCATGTGGCACTCCTTTCTTGTGGCAGTTTGTGCTTCCCTGGATCCTCCTCCCCATGATTTTTCTTCTCTCTCTATTTGGCATAGATGGACAGCTCCCCACTGTGCTTGTGTGTCCTGTTGTTCCCTTCAGCATCTGACCGGGCAGTCTCTGCTCACACTTCTCCAGTGAGGAGGAACAGCATAGGTTACACACAGCTGAGCAGCTTCTGGTCCTCAGGGCCAGTCACCATGTGCCTACTGAGGCAGCTCTTCTAGCTAAACATTGCACATTTCTTCAACCACCTTCACATTTGTTCATCCATGTGTACCTACATTCAGCATTTAATTATTCTCCACCTTCTGCTGGTGCTGCACTGGGCTGTAAGCACCATACGAGCACAGCCAGATTTTTTGCCCATTTTGCTGTATTGCTCATGCCCAGCACAGTGCTTGGCACCTAGTAAGTGGCAAAGACTTGGTGCCTGGGGATACAGAGAACACGACAGTTTAGTGGCTGTTACTTGTTTTGAGGAACCCATTGGATCTGGTAGCTTAAGAACGGGAGCAGGGGTGTCTTTCCCTAAATCCCCCAATATTTTAGAGAGCTATTGGCATGTTCAAGACATTACATTTCACTTTCTGCCAGCATTTGGCCAATTGTAAAATATTTTTAAAAACCTTTTGTTACTGATTTTTCACAGGAGCCCAATGAAGTAGGCAGGACTTTATATTCCTACAGTAAGTAACTGTTTACTGGAATGTCTAGGATCTAATCTGTTATGGAATTTATATGTCTTAACTCCAAAACTCAGTTATCAAAAAAATCTTTTAACTTACCCCAATAGCATTCTGAATTTGTATGTTCTATTACACCCAAACTAAGGCATTTTTAATATTTCACTCAGTATTATATTATACAAGCAGTGTTATAACAAAAAAAGACAAGGGATGGGAATTAAAAGAAATTAATCCACTGTCCCAGTACTCTGGCCTAATAACATCATTTATTCTTCCATTATTCATCATTGACACTAATTCTTTATTGCACTTCTGAGGGGGGATTGTGAAGATGAAGAGGACTTTTATGCCTAGAAGGGATTTTATAGTCAGGTATGAGTAATGACATGAAAAACCATGAGGTCATGGTTCAGTCCTTCCCAGATGCCTTTCACGATCCTCTGTTCCAGCACCTCTTGTTTCCTGGACACCCTAAGCTGTGAGCTGATTCACGAAGGATGGTTAGTGGTCAGCCAGTCAGACATGGAAAGAAATCTTATATTTCCCAATAAACTTTTGTGTTGCTGTTGTTGTTGTTTGTTTGGTGGGTTTTTTGTTTGTTTGTTTTTAGTTTTTGGCTGCACCATGCGGCTTGCGGGATCTTAGTGCCCCAACCTTAGTTCCCCGACCAGGGATCGAACCCAGGCCCACAACAGTGGAAGCACAGAGTCCCAACCACTGTATCACCAGGGAATTCCCCCAGTAAAGTTTTATAGTTGTTCCTTCAATTTCCTATTAAAATTATAGTTCTGTGTTTTAATAGAACTACCTCCTTGTTTTTCAACTGGAAATTGCTGCTGTAAAGAAGTGGTAGTCATTTCCAAATATTTATTCCCCTTGTCACTCTCCAATTCTTAAAGTGTTCACTGAATCATTTTTAGTATAGTTTTTTATTTCTGTTTCACTTCTTAATGACTGGCTAGGACTTGAAAAACCATGTAGAACAATGATAATAGGTTTATCTCTTCCCTGGGCCATGATCTAGTGTATGCAGGGAGCTGACATTTGAGCCCCTGTGGATCAGCACTGTGCTGGGTGATCTCCGGGGATTTGTTAGCTGCCCCATTTCAACCTTACAACCTGTGAGGCAAATATGATTAACCCCACTACAGAAAACCCAGAAAACTCAACTTCAGGGTGGTTAACTAATATCAATGTATTTAATGTTGCCATTTTGTTGCAAGTCAGGATGAGGGTTAAACCAGTGTGACCCTCAAATGGTGTCATTCCCCCCCGCTTCTCCAAAATAGCTTTAATTTTACAGAAATTGTTTACCCAGTAAACCTAAAGAAAATGACCTGATCCCTTAATTTGAGTAGATTGCTAATAACTTTTTACATTTCTTCCTTATTTATTAATCTGTTTAGTTTCTTTTTGTTATATCAATTGTACATTTGCCCTTTAGCTTTAAATTATCTTTTCTTGAGCCATAAAATGTATTCATTTACAACTGTGCATGGTATTCATCTATAATTTTTTTTTACATCTTTATTGGAGTATAATTGCTTTACAATGGTGTGCCAGTTTCTGCTTCACAACAAAGTGAATCAGTTATACATATACATATGTTCCCATATCTCTTCCCTCTTGCGTCTCCCTTCCCCCCGACCCCCACCATCCCACCCCTCTAGGTGGTCACAAAACACCGAGCTGATCTCCCTGTGCTATGCGGCTGCTTCCCACTAGCTATCCATTCCACGCTTGGTAGTGTATATATGTCCATGCCACAACTCCCGCCCTGTCACAGCTTACCCCTCCCCCTCCCCATATCCCCAATCCATTCCCCAGCAGGTCCGCGTCTCCATTCCAATCCTACCCCCAGGTTCTTCATGAAATTTTTTTCTTTTTTTTTTCTTAGATTCCATATATATATGTGTTAGCATACGGTATTTGTCTTTCTCTTTCTGACTTACTTCACTCTGTATGACAGACTCTAGGTCCATCCACCTCATTACAAATAACTCAATTTCATTTCTTTTATGGCGGAGTAATATTCCATTGTATATATGTGCCACATCTTCTTTATCCATTCATCTGATGATGGACACTTAGGTTGTTTCCATCTCCGGGCTATTGTAAATAGAGCTGCAATGAACATTTTGGCACATGACTCTTTTTGAATTATGGTTTTCTCAGGGTATATGCCCAGTAGAGGGATTGCTGGGTCATATGGTAGTTCTATTTGTAGTTTTTTAAGGAACCTCCATACTGTTCTCCATAGTGGCTGTACCAATTCACATTCCCACCAGCAGTGCAAGAGTGTTCCCTTTTCTCCACACCCTCTCCAGCAGTTATTGTTTCTAGATTTTTTGATGATGGCCATTCTGACAGGTGTGAGATCATATCTCATTGTAGTTTTGATTTGCATTTCTCTAATGTTTAATGGTGTTGAGCATTCTTTCATATGTTTGTTGGCAGTCTGTATATCTTCTTTGGAGAAATGTCTATTTAGGTCTTCTGCCCATTTTTGGATTGGGTTGTTTGTTTTTTTGTTATTGAGCTGCATGAGCTGCTTATCAATTTTGGAGATTGATCCTTTGTCAGTTGCTTCCTTTGCAAATATTGTCTCCCATTCTGAGGGTTGTCTTTTGGTCTTATTTATGGTTTCCTTTACTGTGCAAAATCTTTGAAGTTTCATAAGGTCCCATTTGTTTATTTTTGTTTTTATATCCATTTCTCTAGGAGGTGGGTCAAAAAGGATCTTGCTGTGATTTATGTCATAGAGTGTTCTGCCTATGTTTTCCTCTAAGAGTTTGATAGTTTCTGGCCTTACATTTAGGTCTTTAATCCATTTTGAGCTTATTTTTGTGTATGGTGTTAGGGAGTGATCTAATCTCATACTTTTACATATACCTGTCCAGTTTTCCCAGCACCACTTATTGAAGAGGCTGTCCTTTCTCCACTGTACATTCCTGCCTCCTTTATCAAAGATAAGGTGACCATAAGTGTGTGGGTTTATCTCTGGGCTTTCTATCCTGTTCCATTGATCTATCTTTCTGTTTTTGTGCCAGTACCATACTGTCTTGATTACTGTAGCTCTGTAGTATAGTCTGAAGTCAGGGAGCCTGGTTCCTCCAGCTCCGTTTTTCGTTCTCAAGATTGCTTTGGCTATTCGGGGTCTTTTGTGTTTCCATACAAATTGTGAAATTTTTTGTTCTAGTTCTGTGAAAAATGCCAGTGGTAGTTTGATAGGGATTGCATTGAATCTGTAGATTGCTTTGGGTAGCAGAGTCATTTTCACAATGTTGATTCTTCCAATCCAAGAACATGGTATATCTCTCCATCTATTTATATCATCTTTAATTTCTTTCATCAGTGTCTTATAATTTTCTGCATACAGGTCTTTTGTCTCCTTAGGTAGGTTTATTCCTAGATATTATATTCTTTTTGTTGCAATGGTAAATGGGAGTGTTTTCTTGATTTCACTTTCAGATTTTTCATCATTAATGTATAGGAATGCCAGAGATTTCTGTGCATTAATTTTGTATCCTGCTACTTTACCAAATTCATTTTTTAGCTCTAGTAGTTTTCTGGTAGCATCTTTAGGATTCTCTATGTATAGTATCATGTCATCTGCAAACAGTGACAGCTTTACTTCTTTTCCTATTTGGATTTCTTTTATTTCCTTTTCTTCTCTGACTGCTGTGGCTAAAACTTCCAAAACTATGTTGCATAAGAGTGGTGAGAGTGGGCAACCTTGTCTTGTTCCTGATCTTAGTGGAAATGCTTTCAGTTTTTCACCATTGAGGACGATGTTGGCTGTGGGTTTGTCATATATGGCCTTTATTATGTTGAAGTAAGTTCCCTCTATGCCTACTTTCTGCAGGGTTTTTATCATAAATGGGTGTTGAATTTTGTCGAAAGCTTTTTCTGCATCTATTGAGATGATCATATGGTTTTTCTCCTTCAATTAGTTAATATGGTGTATCACATTGATAGATTTGCGTATATTGAAGAATCCTTGCATTCCTGGAATAAACCCCACTTGATCATGGTGTATGATCCTTTTAATGTGCTGTTGGATTCTGTTTGCTAGTATTTTGTTGAGGATTTTTGCATCTATGTTCATCAGTGATATTGGCCTGTAGTTTTCTTTCTTTGTGACATCCTTGTCT